TTGCAGTTGCACTGATCGTTTAAGTTGAAGTATATGTATAGAAAAACAAACGTAAATCGTTATATAAATATATATACGTATATATATTGTTGGCCTTTGCGTGATAGTGTTACAGGTAGATACATATATTGTTAAACAGTTGCCTCATAGAAATCAGTTTGTGGCAAAGCCGTCTACCACACATGCACCTGTTGAAACGGTTTTCACTATTTTCAGTTCATTCCTCATCATCTTTATTACACTTCCATTAAATGTCTCAATTATTCAGTGTTTGTTGTTGTCTAATGACGTACGTGTCTCGTAGATAACTTTAACTTGTCTCCGTCTTTAACTGTCTCTCTGTTTTTCTCTGTTTTACATTGTGTCTTACTCATCTCCATGGAAAAACCTAGTCAAGGCTGCACTAAAAAGCTGCTGACACATTTTAGCTACACACGCCAAAGAAAAAGTTAGAGAAATAGAGATAGAATAGAGAGAGAGGGAGAAGTTTTAAGGAATATTCAGCTGCAGGAATATAAAGATATCCGTTTGATTCAGTGATGGAAATGAGATATACTTTAGTGTCTTCACACCAGCAGAGAGAGACAGTGGTTCCTCAGTCCTGCTCTCAGGTTTGAGTTGGAGAGGACGGAGCCAAACTAGCACACATGGTTTCTGTCTTGAACCACAGCCGGCTTTTTTTAGCCTTTGTGGAGACAGGGTGTGGATGACTGTGTACCTACCACGACTATATGAGCAAACAGCAGGGACCAAAGCTTAATGTGGCTCACAAAAAAAGACCGTAAACAACGCCTCCGCACGGCGGTTCAGACGAGCCAAAGTGTTGTTATGGAATTATACATTAGTGTCATGTCTCTCAGACTCTTAAAAAAACAAGCTGTGCTCCTAAAGCAGTGGAGAGAATTGTAACATGTTTACTTTGTCCTTTCCAGACAGCTTCAGGGCATTGTGTTGCTTATTAGCATCAATTGAATGCACATTTTTAAGTGAGTAAGTCATGCCTCATCTAGTATAAAGGAAAAACATTCACTCTTTATTTTTGTAAGTGGGATGTCTTAAAGTTTAAAGTGAGGTTTCACGCAGTCGCACAGACACAAGCTCTCTCGTGCACACTCTGACTTTCTTATCCTTGGCTTGTGTTGTTTTGTCCTTGAATAAATGCCTTAAGCTGTTAAGCACTGTCATCAGGGGCGCCGTAAGGGGGTGAAAAGTTAGGACGATTCTAAGGGCCCGTGACTGACAGGAAACCAAACAATTTTAGAACATTAAGATAAAAATGTTTAAGTAACCAATGTGATATCTTTTCATGGGGCCCAAAATCCCTGGCGGCGCCCCTGACTGCCATCATTGACCTTCAGCCTGGAAACAAATGATGTCTTGCATTGTTTGAAGTGTTTAAGGGTGAATAATGCTAGATAAATGACATAATTCAGGTCACAGCTTCAATTCATTTAATTTAATTTAATTTTTATTTGTCCCGCTCATGGTACGCAAAACCAAATGTACAAAACATGACTCTACCAAAACACCATTGAGCGAAAAGGAGCAGGGAGAAGAATAAAATGTGACCTGCCCCTTTCTAAAAAAAACTAAATAAATACAAATAGATGGTCTGCCCTTCATAATAATTTTTTTTTTCTTTTTTTCACAGCCAAACATAACAGTATCTTAGGATTCTAAGAGAAACACACAAAAAAAAACGTATTTCCCACTTGACGGTTAACGGAAAGAAACAAAACAACACCAAAACATCACATGTATAAGGAAAAGAAAAGTGCAACACCCTCAGCTGAGTCCTACTGGAGAAGAAGGTGGAAAGCGACGCATGATGATAATAATAACAATAACAACAATAACAATGGCGATGGGACCCGCAAATACAGAGGACATCAAAGACATGAAGGACCAGAGTACATAGATTTATTCACATTCTGCTTCATATAGTCCCATCTTTCTTAATTTATACAACTTCTTTAACTGAAAAATACAAATACAATTCTTTAGATCCTTTTGTTGAGAATTCCACAATTGAACACCAACCACCGAAATACACATTTGTTTAAGAGTAGTCCTTGCATATGGATGCTTAAAATGCCATTTCCTTCTGTGGTCTTCCTTGTCTGAACCAAAAACAAACAACTGTTGTAAATATGCTGGTAACATTCTGCATTTTGCCCTGTGCATTACTGATAATATCTGCAGCTCAGCTATGTCTTTGAGTTTCAAGAGTCCTGACTTAAAAAACAGTCTGTTGGTGTGTTCTCTTGAGTCAGCTTTATGAATTATTCGTACTCCCCTTTTCTGTAATATTGACAATGGCTTTATGTTGCTCATATATGTGTTGCCCCACACTTCTATACAATAAATGAAAAATGGCAAAAAGAGTGAACAGTACAACATCCTCAATGCCTTGTAATCTAGCAAATACTTTGCCTTGTTTAGAACAGAAATATTCCTAGACACTTTCGTTTTAACATGTGCTATGTGTGATTTCCATGTCAGGTTGTCATCCAGCGTCACACCTAAGAATCGAAATTCAGAAACCCTTTCAATAAAAACTCCATCAATGGACAGTGAAATGTTTTCATCTTTTTTTCTATTAGCAAAAACCATAAACTTCGTTTTATTCAAATTTAGGGTTGACTTATTTTCATCAAACCATCTTTTAAGTTTGACCATTTCATGTCCAATACACTTTGCTAAAATGTTTAAATCATCTCCTGAACAAAATAAATTTGTGTCGTCTGCAAACAACACAAATTGCAATAATGTTGACGTTTCACATATGTCATTGATGTACAAAATAAAAAGTTTAGGCCCTAAAACCGAGCCCTGCGGGACACCACATTCTATGTTCATACACTCCGATGTACTACCAGCAAATTCTACATATTGTTGTCTGTTATCTAAATAACTTTGTAACCAATCTAGAACTACTCCTCTCACTCCGTATCTATGTAATTTCGAAATTAATAGGTAATGGTCTATGGTGTCAATAAATACACCTATTGTGTATTTCTTTCTGTCTATAGCTGTAGTAATTTCTTCTGTTATTTTCATTAAAGCTAAAGCTGTAGATCGATTTTTCCTAAATCCATACTGACTCTCACTCAATAACTCGTTTTTTTCAATACAATTATCAAATATTTGGACAAACAATTTCTCAAGGACCTTTGAAAATTGTGAAAGCAAGGACACTGGTCTGTAGTTGGTAAATTGGCTTTTGTCCCCTGTTTTAAAAAGTGGGATAACTTTAGCTATTTTCATGCTATCTGGAAAAATACCTGTCTGAAATGAAAGATTAAAGATGTAACTTAGCGGTTTAATTATGCAGTCAATAGTCGTTTTCACTATTGTCATGTCGATCCCATCACTATCAGTCGAAGTCTTATTTTTGCATTTGTCTACAATGGATCTAATTTCAATTTCGTTTATCTCTTCCAGAAACATTGACTGCAACACTTTACTTCCCCCAATTCCGCCATCCTCTATTTGCCCATTACATTGCATTTAGCTGACGCTTTTATCCAAAGCGACTTACAATCATGTTGTTTTAGAATAGTCTTTGCAAGATTAGGTCCGACATTTACAAAAAAATAGTTAAATTCATGTACCACTTCATTCATGTTTTTTACAACCTTATTTTTGTCATCAATGAAGTGACTGGGCAGGCCAGTGGATACAGATTTATTTCCAATAACATTATTTAAAATGTTCAATGTGCCCTTGATATCATTTTTCTTTTCTTTTAAGATATTATTATAATATTCTCTTTTTGCTTGTCTCATTATAACTGTCAACTTATTTTGCCTTGTATTGCTTTTCAATTGCCTTTGTCCTAAATGTAAGTCTTTATAAAGGTTATTTTTCTTCTTGCAAGCATTTTGTAAGCCCTTGGTTATCCAAGGCTTTTGATGATAAGTACCTTTTATATGTACGGAGTACAGTGGGACAATGTTTGTCATACAGTGATATGTAGATTTTTAGGAATTCAGCTCCCTCATGCCTGTTTACACACAAACGAGAGAGTATAACTCTGTGAATATCAGAAAATAAATAATCTTTTCATCAGATATTGCATCATGCAACTTTAGAACTTATTTCCCTTTGTTCTTTTTTGGAAATATTCAAAAAGCAGGCAATTATTTTCAAATTATTGAGGACATTTAGTTTTTTAGCTGTTACACTAAAAGTGTGTTTGTAGTTATGGTCTTATATAAGCTTTATCTTGGTCTAAACATATGGCCTGCTGAGCCAGGAAGAGACTTCTCAAAAATGCAATCCAACTCAGAACAGCAAATTACTTCCAGCTGTTTTCTTTTTTGTTTTTCTCAAATCTCTTCAGATATCAAGATTTAAGTTGTGTCCTATTAAAAGTATTTATACATATTTTGTTCATGTCTGGTTGTATCTGAATATTGTGAGTAATGTTGCAAATCAATGAGCAAGAAAGATTTTCCACGAAAATACTATATATCATGATAAAAAAAAGTACATACACAATGTGATATTTCATCAGCTCAGATGTGAAATGTGTTTAACAATAACTCATAATAACTGACTGAGAGACATAGTTTGCAGCATTTGATGCACCTTTCCCCATCGTAAATGTTGATGGGTTTTTAAAAACAGTATTCATTTCCAAACACGTTTTCAGAATTGGGCAAATAGAAGGAAGACTGGAAAACATAAAGGAAGTCATTACATTTTAGTTTCTCCGCATATCAAATAGGCTTACTATGAAATTCCCCTTCAGGGACACTCGGGATTTAATCTGTGCGAGTTCAGGACAGTTGATTCAGGACACTTGAAGTTACCGCATATGTATGTATTTATTATCAGTTACTAGCTCGCATAGACTGCATGGATAAGATAATTATATTTTCTAAAAATGTAATTGATGGTTCAGTAAAGGATTTGTAATCGACTTAATTTTGTTAAACGATTCTTATTTTTATTTAATTTTCGAAATAAAACTGTTGGGTGTTCGTTTTTTGCGGTACGAGTCTAGTTTTTCCGAGTAGTCCCTGAAGGTAACAACTCCAGTAGTGTCCCCTGATCATCAGAGAGGACAGACTCGATCAGACACAACACGCCTGCACACACTGTAATGATAAGGTAGGACATCTCACTATGACAATTTAACACAGTGTTAACTAACTAAACCTAACTGACCGTCATTTATAACCTTTATCCGTGAAGAATGGTGGCTGCTTTCATTCAAAACACTCGATTTTGCTGTTAAAACAACGTTAACGTGACTCGTTTCGAGTTGAATTCAGCCTTTTTACGTGTTTGTTTTGTTCAATAATACGATTCCGTGTAACGTTTGTATGTGTTTTACTGTCCTGGACGCTTACATGAAGACACATGTGCCTTGTGTTTTGGTGCTGGAAGCATGCCTCCTTTGTTGACTGACGCAGAGAATGACATTAAGCGCCAACTTCAAGCATGGACTGTATAACCGGGCAGTTTAGTGAAATAATGTTTACTTGTTTAACTACACTTATGGAGATTTACTTATTAATTGGTGACAATGTTGTTGGCTAGATAGCGGTTTAACGTGAAAAATATATACTGTTTATTAGCTGTATTTGAAATAACAAACAGCAGCTATAATAACTTAAATTATATTCCTTTGATTTTGTTTTATTTTCTACCCCCAACAAACGAGATAATTGTCACCCTGAGCCATTGCTCTTAGTGGATACAGTTCAAATTGTTATGCTATTTTGAATATTTGAAATAAGAGCCCTAAATATGGCACTTTCTGTCTTGAATTGAAGGAGTAAAGAGCTGCATTTTAAGTCTCCATTCACCGCGATAATAAAAGATGTGCCGCATGTCATGCTGCTTAGGGAAGCACCGGCGCTGTGTGACATTTAATGAAATCTGGTGGTGGGCTGATACAGTATCACAGGACCGGACAGTAGAACAAGTAACGAATGGATTTCATTGTAAGCTTTATAAGCTTGATACGTTTTTTATTGATTTACTCATTTACTAAATCAATAAACGTACTTACTGCTGTAGTCGAAGGAAAAAAACAAGATAAATCTAAATCAAATATTTGTGCATGGTCCCTAAAGTCACTGTAATATTCAGTGATGAATGAAGTATTCAGATACGAGTAAGTACCAATATATAATTGTCAAAATACTCCACTACAAGTAAAAGTTCTGCATATCAAATCTTACTTAAGTGAAAATACAAAGTATTATCAGCAAAATATACTTAAAAAGTAAAAGTAATCATTGTGCAGAAAAGTACCTCAACATTGTACTTAAGTACAGTACTTGAGTAAATGTACTTAGTAACTTCCCACCTCTGTATATTCTTTTAAATGTGCCTGTTGTACTGACTAAAGATACTTTGGATACTTAGTTGTACATTTGTGTTGCCTATTAGGATTTTTGTTTTAGGGTTATATTATGTTTGAATAATAAAAAAAAATGGTAAAAGTATTTCAAAAAGACTTGGCAGGTGATTGGATCAATCTGTCTATCACCTACTATCATGGGCCACTTCTGATTGGTTAACAATGACTGGTACACGTGGAGCACAGCACTTCTGATTGGTGTGGATGACTGACACACAAGAAGAACAAAACATTTTTTTTAAATCGCAGGCTTTGCTATTTGATAATTGCATAATTTAAAATCGCGATTTAGATTTAAAATCGATTAATCGTTCAGCCCTAAAATGCATTACACAATTCTTATTATCCTTTTAATGACGAGGCATCTGTCAGACTGTGTTTCCCTGCTGTCCTGCATGTCACACATGTCTGTGCTATTTGTGAATCCATGACCCTGAGGCCAGAAGAAGAGTGCACCAGAATGGAGGCTTTGTTTTCTATTGAACAGCTGATGGGACAGCAGTATGACCACCTCTGGTTGAGCATATGTGTTTTATAGGAGTGGGAGTGAAGTTATCCCATCTGTTTCCTAGAGTTGAATGGCAAAGCAAGAACCAAATGTCCTCAATCATTGTCCATGCTGGCAGAATAAAGCACGTAGCTCATGTGAAGATAAGATTAAGAAGAACTGACTCATCAAAGGAAACTGTTCCCCCTCTTACTAATTTCACCCGTTCGCGCTAACTGTTGAGTAGTCATGATGAGGAGTGGATTCACTATTGCCACTTCATCATAAAGCCACTTATCTAAACCACTTCAACTAACCAAAGAGACAGGCAGCTGCAGAGAGGCTTTGTTCCTGCTCTCTTTCTCACTGAGTGGCGGGAAATCATTTCAGGCGTAAAGGGGCGGGTCTGTAAGAAGACAATGAGTTTGGAGACCTATTATTCTTCCTCTCTCTTTTGGCTTGGATGAGACTTCCCCCCCAGGGTTTACCTTTATGTCGCTACAATTAGTGTTTCATGAAGGTCTCTTTTCCTGTTTCTGTGCCTTTGCATCCTGCTTTTATTTGTATCATCCTAATCACAACCCAGTTAAACAAAGCATGACCATCCCTGGGGTTCACTCCCCTGCATTGAGAAACAAACAGAGAACAAACTGTACTGTATTTCATTACATATGAGTGGATACAGTTTAAATTGAATAGGAATAGAAGGACTGGAAAATAGTATTGTTTGGTGTAAAGCTGTACTCTGTTTTCCTTGTCTGCGTCGATCGGTTCAAAGTGGACGCTTTTCATTCTTTTATTAAATGTAATTTAACTGTTAATGTTAATTAACTGTAATGTAACGGTTTCACTTCCACAAGGTTTTCCACAAAGAAAAAGTAACTGTCTTAATTATTTGGAGTGAGAACTGAGAACATGTAGAGGTTTTAAAACGGTTAAAATATCAATATTGTGGTGTTTCTTGGGGATGAACAATCTTGCAGAGACCTGATTGAAAACAGCAACCTGTGCAAAGATAAATATTGTGAATTGATTACCACCTGCGGTCCCATTGCTAAATAGTTGGATTTCTGACCCCCTATAGTCCCTGAAGTTTGTTCAAGTTAAAGGTCCCATGTCATGCTTTTCCGGTTATTACCCGTCCCCTTGTGTGTTATGAAGGTTTGTATACATGTAAATGGTCTGCAGAGTCAAAACCCTCAAAGTACACCATGTAGCGAGTAAAACTCTAACACAGAAAATACCTCCCCAAAACGCCTCGTTGGAGATACGTCACTGTCCATTTGATTCTTCCGGGTACATCATGATGTCATGTCATCTCCGGAACTAAATGGACCAATCCGTGGAGCCGTTACGTTACGTCCGCGGAGCTGTTACGTTAAGCCCCCGCTGATTGGTCCAAATTGACCAATCCACGGACTTCCTCACTCACTCAGTGCATGCAGTTCAGCTGATTTCTCCTCCCTGGCTGCAGGCTGATAACAGACAGTTGGGATGGCGGCGAAATTTTCTCTGCAGACCCATTCTCACAGCGTTTATCAACCTTTCTCTTACTCAATATCAAGCCACACTTATTGTTTTTACTTCGGCTGTGACTTTGTGTGTGCTCAGGGTGAGTTTGGCTGTGTTTCGCTGTGTATCGCTAAACAAGGAAATCACACCTCCACGGAGTTCAGAGCGATTCACAACGTCCCGACTGGTCCCGACCAATCGGAGCACACTGGGCTCAGAGGGAGGGGGGGGCAAGAGCTGCAACGAGCCGTTTAGTGGAGAGAGTGAATACTGCTGAATACACATACTTTACAGAGATGCTGTATGCAAAACCAATGTGAGTTTGGAAAATTGCACAGTATAAATCTATTCTAGTAGACCTCAACAATGGAATTATGATCAGTGGAAATGGCCATGACATGGGACCTTTAATGTAATTGTTATCTAGGCCTCAGTGTCAATCATTAGCAGTGTTACCTGCTGTTTCTGCTTGGTGTGACTTAATACCCAAAAGCCTCTCTGTCTGCATGGAGAGGATGTGGCGTGGTATGTGGGCACCATTCTTTGGACCGCCTATGTAGGCAAGGCAAGGCAAGTTGATTTATATAGCACCTTTCAGCACACAGCAATTCAAAGTGCTTTACAAAATAAAAGACATTTAAGAAGAAATACAGCTGAAACACATTATAAAATGGCATTTAAATACAGGCATTAAAAAGCAAAGTAAATGTAAGCCTTCCTTCAGTTGTTTAATCTGTTGAGTTGTACTTATTGGCGGGTGGCGCAGTGGTCTGTGCGTTTGATCATCAGATCAAGGGGGCGTTGGGGAACTCCAGTTCGAAACCCGCTCCCGCCCCACTGCGTCAGGCCGTTGTGTCCTTGGGCAAGACACTTCACCCGAATTTGCTCCTGTGGGTATTGTCCACAGTAGATGACCATTACATGTATGATCTGTATGTGTATTTGTAAAGCGCTTTGAGAGTCTTTGATAAAGCGCTATAATAAATATAAGGATTATTATTATTTATTTCTATTACATTTCTAGTATTATATTTGTCAATAGGATTTACTTTGAAAACTGGTGGAAAGCCAATGGCTGAAAAGAAAGACCTGGGTGGACACGCTGTGTGAAGGGACGAGTATTGACTGTGAGACCTTTTGGTTTCCAAGTGAACCAAAGTGTGGGCTTGTGATAGGAAGTTGTTAAATGTTTAGGCAGCGTTGCATTTGCTGCCAGGGTGACTCTGCAAATGCCCTACTTACATTTGAAAAGAGGACCCGAGTCTATGTGATTAGTGTGTGTGATTGTGAACTCGTGCCTGCAGGTGTAGATGCAGCATTGCTGCTTTTAATTGAACACATTGAATTTAAATGCAGAGTAGACTAGATTATGGATTTTTTTGCCAGTTTATTTGAAAATGTGAAAGTACTAATAGTGAAAAACACCAAATGTTTCTACAGCAGGAACAAATCCACTGATAAACACAAATAAAGCTGGATATTTTTACTCATTATTCCATTTAAAAGACTAAAATAGACCTCTTCAAACTTGGTTTCTCACGCTTTTCAAGAAGCTTACATCTCTTTAGGATTAGGATGGAGTTTTTTCTGGAATAATTAATCTATTCTCTCAGTAAATCTGTCCTTGAAAGAAGAGCAGGAGGAAACGCGGTGTGAAATTGGAAATAAAGGCTGTAAAAGTCAATGTACTGTGTCGTAACTAATGTATTCTGGGATGTCCTCGAGCTGTCGAGCATGCTC